TTCATTGTCCTGAGGTCCAGCTGGTCCACAGAGAAGATCAAGTCTTTAGTTGTCCTGAGGTCCAGGCTGATCCAAAGAGGAGATCAGGTTATAAGTTGTCCTGAGGTCCAATTTGTCCACAGAGGAGATCATGTCTTTAGTTGTCCTGAGGTCCTGGCTGGTCCAAAGAGGAGATCAGGTCTTTAGTTGTCCTGAGGTCCAGGCTGGTCCACAGAGGAGATCAGGTCTTTAGTTGTCCTGAGGTCCAGGCTGGTCCAAAGAGGAGATCAGGTTATTAGTTGTCCTGAGGTCCAATCTGTCCACAGAGGACATCAGGTCTTTAGCTGTAGATCCTAACCTGAGGAACCAGCAGCCTCTTCATATCAGACAGACGTCAACTCTTGGAGTTTTTAAATCTCATCTTAAAACACATTTGTACTCAGTGTTCTTTAATCCAACACAAGTGTTGCTATTTTCGCTTGATTTTATCAGCTTTGTTTTTTGTCCTAAATTTTCAGCTAAAGTAGTTTTTGTTTGTTTGTTGTGGTCTCTTGTTTTTGTGTTGTCATCTTACTATTTGTTTTATGTGCAGCACTTAACCAATGACAGTGGTTTTAAAATGCCCTGTATAAATACTGTAAATTTGATTTGATCGTGAGCATGAACATGATCAAACACCATGATCATGGTGCGTGATCATGTAGTTGTGTGTGTGTGTGTGTGTGTGTGTGTGCGTGTGTGTGTGCGTGCGTGCGTGTGACTGTCTGTTAAAGAAAAGAAAATGTCTCAAGAACCAGTGAAAGGATTTTAATGAAACTCTCATATATTAGTTAAAAGATCTTTAGGCATTAGTCAAAGGTAAATCAAAATCATGGTGGATGGCTTGTGAAATGGATGTACTTGTATCTTTACTTGAGCAAATGACCTGATTACTTCTTCCAGCACTGACACTGAAAAACCTCTCTCCTTCACAGTGGCAGGCCATCTCTCTGACGGTGATTGAGAAGGTGCAGATAGCAGCCATAATCTTGGGTTCCCTGTTTCTCATTGCCAGCATCTCCTGGCTCATTTGGTCCTCCCTCAGTCCCTCAGCCAAGTGGCAACGTCAGGACCTGCTTTTCCAAATCTGCTACGGCATGTATGGCTTCATGGATATCGTCTGCATAGGTAAAGCAAACAGTGACGCAAGGCTGACACCAAAATGTGCAAATATACAATCATGCCACAGTTTTGAAAATAGCTACAGCAGCCAGAGGCACTGAACGAAGGGTTAAGTGACAGAGCAGAGAGAGATTGCTGCGTTATGCAACAACAAGGCGAGCACAACAACAGTAATATAAGCAAAGGTTGCATTATGCAAGGACAAACTAGTGTGGTGAGACAAAAATATTCAATTTACATTCTGGCACCTGTTTAGATTGTGCACATTTCAAGAAGCAAACTGGCAGATGGTGCAAGGGAGGAGATAACATCAACACTAAAAGCCTAACAAATTTTGATGATGTTGCAAAGTAGAAGAGATTGTTTGTAAGGTGTGACTGGGTCAACTGTTCTTGCGTAATTATGACTTCTCTGAGTCAGACAACACTGAGAACAGATGGCGTGAGAGATCTGCGCTGTGATTTTTGTCAGCTGCCTGTTCTCGTCCACAGGCGAGATACAATGTTCCTACCTATGCTGCTGATAGAAGCTGCTTGGTCTGTTTAGCATGGTTGATGTAAACAGCGGGAATCCAGGATATTCTTCTCTAATGTATTGTCCTCCACTCTTCCTGTTCTCTTTATTCCAACTAGGCCTCATCATCCACGAGGGATCATCAGTGTATCGAATCTTCAAACGATGGCAGGCTGTCAATCAACAGTGGAAAGTACTAAACTATGAGAAATCTAAAGACTTGGGTGACCCGGTGAGTTCGAACAGTAAGAACGGTGCCCGCAGCGCTCGCAGCAACCCTCATGGTCTGGCCAGCAGCAGCAGGGGGCGACAGAGCAGGAGGCTGAGGACTATTCTGAACCACCACTGTGGATACACCATCCTGCACATCCTGAGTCAGCTGAGGCCCAATGACCCACGGATCAGTGCCGCTGCCAATCGAGAGGTGGTGATGAGGGTTACGACTGTATGAGATGTACCAGGACATCTTCTTTGTGTCTGATGTAAAACAGTGGAGGAACTTGTGGACCTAATATGAAAAATCACACACACACAAAAAGCCCTAAAGAGGGCATCAAGGTCCCTGCATGGAGCTGATGATGCCCAGAGCATCAATACAATGAACACGAGTGAGGATTTCTCCTTGTGTTTCCTACAACAGAAGGAAGCTAGACGCTCCTTTTCAGCCATTTAAAAACTGTTGAAGAAAGGAACAAACAAGCACTAAAAACTTCAACATGAAGTCTAAGGTGGGGGTGGGGAAGTTGTAAACAGGCTTTGTACCCTAATACAGTGCAACATGATGGAGTTTTTTTAATTCAATATCTGGATGCACAGAAGCATTCTGTTTTTGTTTGTATTCTTCTGTTTGATTTGTATTGCTGGTTTTTTTCTACTTGATTTGATTTTATAGGGATGACTTTAAATGAAACCGGGAGTGGTAACTCCATACATGCCAAACATTTTCAGACTACTATTTATAAGGATTTTAAAATTTCTACAAGTCATCCAATGCTGGCGAATAGACCGAAAACTGAGACTAAACAGACGTGAGGGGCAGTTAGAAGTGTTGAAGGAACAATAATTCAGTGTTTAAAGTATTTCTGTTACATTTAACCTTTCTGCAATAAAAATACATATGTACATTTCACATGGAATTTTGCATGGGTATATAATTTTATTCTTCATCACATTACATAAGCACATGACAAATTTGCTCTATTTCGATTGGTGCTTGCCAGAATAAACCATTTAAAAACATCTGTTTTCATTGTACCAACCTTTGTCAGTATGGCCAACGGCAGTGTTACAGCTATTTCAGCTAAAATACAGATTGTTACTACTGTGCGCTAATTAAGATTTGATAAGTTGAATATTGGATTAAAAACTGGGATCAGATCATCTCTAGTTTTTTGGTCTCTTCTGTCTTCTTTAACCAATCTCTGGCTTAACACAAGGGCTTTGTTTAAAATCTGTCTGTCTAGCCTTCTTTCCTTTGTTGTTTCCATATTCGTCTTTATGTCTGTCCGTCTGTGTGTTAGAGGACATATGACATTTTCATATTTTGTGAGTGAAATGATTGAAAAATCACAAAACTCAACCTTCAACATGACTGTTCAAGTTTTGTTTTCAGACCTTGCTCAAATGTATTTGAAAGAGGAAGTAACATTTTCCTATTGACATATATAAAAAAATTAAGAAATCTGATCATCTCACAGCACACAGGTGCTTAGAGATACCAGCTAACGTTAGCCGGAGCCTGCACATGATCAAAGAGGCAGTCCAGTAGGACCATCCATCTGTTCTTTATACCCACCTACCGGTAATTCTGTTCAGGGCTGCGGGGAGCTGCCTTTCACACTCAGAGACGTGGGAGGTGGAGAAGTACATCCTGAACAGGTTGCCAGTCAGTTGCTTGGACAACACTGAGTCACACACGACAATCAACCATCGCACACACACAGTTTTTGTACAGTGAGAGGAAACCAACAATGGAAGAACCTGACCCATGGTCGAAATACATCATTTTTAAGAGTTTCTGACAGAGGCTCAGCATGCAGAGGGTTGAATTTCTGAGCTGTGACTGTCAGACTAGTTGGTGGCTCAAAGTTCTGAGAAAACAGGCAAATTTTCTGTTGCAGTCTTTGAGTGATTGCTAACAAGAGATCAGTGAGCTGGATCTATGTTTTACACAACCAGTTTTTTAATTCATCGTGCGTTTTTATGCACAGGGTCTGGGCTTGACAAAACCTTATTCTTTGTTGTGGATATTATTTCATTAACAACCTCCACCTACACTGTACCTGCCTCTGCCCTCTTTAGACCCATCATGGCAGCTGCCCTCATGTTTGATGAGTCAGCCTACTGGAGTATACTTTAGTAATGAGGATGGGCAGATTTGGACCAGAGGGAGGTTTTTAGACTCTGACATGCTTTCTGTCAGAGGAGCAGTCCTTTGCAGGTGTCAAAATACAGCTCTAGTTCTTTTGAGATGGGTTGGAGATGAACGAGAAAAAATACAAATAAATCAATCGAAGTGTTTGAGATCCCCACAACTTTGTGAATATTTTAAGAGAAATTTCTTGCACAAAATTATTTAACATGTATAACATTCAAGCAACATGCCTCTGTGACTAAAGTGAGAAAATAGAGAACCCCTGTGAACATAATGGAGACCCCAGACACATTGTTTTCCAGTGTTGCCCTCTAGAAACTTTATCAGAAAAGAGAGGAATGTTTTTTACTTCATTACAAGAAGAATGTGAGAAGAATGAAGAACTATCTGTTTGCCAGTGAAGTAAAACTATCATCCACCAAGTTTTAACTAAAGGTTTAAAAATCTAAAACTTTTACTGATATGAAGTAATCATCACTGTTACTACCTCAGGCTTGTTCCCTGGCTTCCTGTGTGCATGTGTGTGCATTTGTGCATGTGCGTGTGTGCATGTGTGTATTTATATATCCATTCATCTACCCATTATCTTTACCCATTTCTTCCTTTTTGGGTTGTGGGGGTCACTGATGCCCAAATCCAACAGTCACTGTGCGAGAGGCGGGGTACACCCTGGACAGGTCTCCAGTCCATCACAAGGACAAACGAGACAAACAACCATTCACTCTCTTACTCTCAACTAGAGACAATTTAGAGTTACCAATCAGCCTAACATGCATGTTTTGAACTGTGGAAGGAAACCAGAGTACCCAGAGGAAACCCATGCATGCATGTGAAATATGCAAACTTCACCCACTTCTCTTCTTATACACAGTAATTCTTACTCCCTTGAATATCTTGAACAAAAAACGTATATATAAAAGCTCGTCAAAAGTTGTTGAATGGTGAGAGGACTGTGTTTCCAACTCCACACCTCTGGGTTGGTTCATAGTTCTTCATGAGCAGCAGATGGCCTCTCCATGACACATGCCAGTCCAATCTTGCCTCATGGAAAGGCCATTCCAGTCTGCCATGAGGCAAGAATGGAATGGCCTCTCCAAGACACATCCCAGGGCAGGTGTGTATCTAGGCCTTCTGTTGCCCAGCCTTGGCTAATGGTAGAAGCACAACACAGGAAGTGACAGTTCTGAAATATCAAAATATATAGAAAATATGAAAGCCATCTTTGGGGGAATCAAGAAAGCTCTTAGTCATAGACCAACCAGGACAGCTCCTCTTAAATCCACACATCTAAAAGTGATCTAAAAGGATCCAACACAAGCAGAACTCTGACTCAACAGGTAATATATAAATTAAAACAATTTATTTAAACTAAAAGCAAAAGGCTGACGTGACATCCTTATAGGCATAATTTTAAACAAATGGATTGTTGGGTTAGGACAGCATGGTGATGCAGTTGGTGGAGCTGCCGCCTCTCAGCAAGAAGGTTGCCCCAGATCAAATCCAAGCTGGAAGGACTTTCTGGGTGCAGTTTGTATGTTCTCTCAGTGCATGCGTGAGTTTTCTCCGGGTAATCTGGTTTCCTCCCATAGACCAAAAACATGCATGTTAGACTGATTGGTAGCTCTAAATTATCCTTAGGTGTGAGTGAGAGAGTGAATGGTTGTTTGTCTCATTTGTTTCTCTGTGGCCCTATGATGGACTTGCGACCTGTCCAGTGTGTACCCCGTCTTTCGTACAGTGACTGCTCAACATGGGCACCAGTGACCCCTGTGACCCAAAAAGGAAGAAGCAGGTAAAGATAATGGATGGATGGATTGCTGGGGTCAAAGTAATTTTGAACTTTATGCCCATTATAAACCATAATGTTTGATTGGCATACAGTATGGTGCCAGGGGTTGCTTCCATCTGTTGAAGGGGTCATCATACCCCACTGGTCAGCTATCACCCACCTCAAGCAGGACAGTCCCCGGTCAATAAGGTGTTGTCCCCCCTTCAATCAGCCATCCTAAAAAGGTGCAATGGGATTAGGATCCCACCTCCCTGGGCCACCTTACCATGGCGGAGGGGTTTGAGTGTCCCAATGATCCTAGGAGCTATGCTATCAGGGGCTTCATGCCCCTAGTAGGGTCACCCAAGGCAGTCAGGTCCTAGATGAGGGACCAGACAAAGTGCTGCCCAAAGACCCCTATGATGACCACAATGAATGTAAACAATGATCCCTTGCCCAAACGTGGGTCACCAGGGCCCCACTCTGGAGTCAGGCCTGGAGGTGGGACACGCTGGTAAGCACCTGGTGGATGGACTTTTACCCATGGAGCCCGGCCGGGCACAGCCCAAAGAGGAGACATGGGTCCCCCTTCCCATGGGCTCATCACCTGTGGGAGGGACCAAAGGGGTTGGGTGCAATGTGGGATGGGTGGTGGCTGAGGGTGAGGACCTTGGCAATCTGATCCTCAGCTACAGAACCTGGCTATTGGGACGTGGAATATCACCTCTCTGGGGGGGAAGGAGCCTGAGCTGGTGTGTGAGGTTGAGAGGTTCCGGCTAGAAATAGTTGGGCTCAACTCAACGCATGGCTCTGGCTCTGGAACCAGTTTCCTTGAGTTGGACACTCTTCCACTCTGGAGTTGCCCCTGGAGAGAGGCACTGAGCAGCAGTGGGCATACTTGTTGCCCCCCATCTCAGTGCCTGTATGTTGGGTTCACCCCAGTGAACAAGAGGGTAGCCTCCCTCCGCCTATATGGGGTGTGTGTGTTCTGACTGTTGTTTGTACTTATGCACAAAACAGTAGTTCAGATTACCCACACATATGGCAGTCCTTGGAGGGGGTACTGGAGAGTGCACCTCCTGGGGACTCCCTTAATCTGCTGGGGGAATTCAATGCGCACGTGAGCAATGACAGTGAGACCTGAAGGGGTGTGGCTGGGAGGAACGGCCCCCTGATCTGAACCCAAGTGGTGTTCTGTTGTTGGACTTCTGTGCTCGTCATGGATTGTCCATAACAAACAATATGTTCAAGCATAAGAGTGTCCATATGTGCTCTTGGCACCAGAACACCCTAGGCCACAGTTCGATGATCGACTTTGTTGTCATCTCATTTGATCTGTGGTCACATGTCTTGGACAGTCAGGTGAAGAGAGGGGCGGAGGTGTCCACTGACCACTACCTGGTGGTGAGTTGGCTCCGATTTTGGGGGGGAAGATGCTGGTCAGACCTGGCAGGCCCAAATGTATTGTGAGGGTATCCTGATACATGCTCAATAATCCAGGTTGAAAAATCTAGAAAAAGTTCAGTCTGGTCCTCTGGACATTCAAAAAACAAAACAAAGCAAAAAAAAAAAAAGTAGAAACGTTTCATCTTTCATCCATAAGACTTCTTCAGTCTGTTAAGATATTTATCTAGACTGGTCGTGGGAGTTTTTGATCTGCTCAGAGACGGGATTATAATGAAATTATGACCCAGTTCTGACTGGGTCAAACTGGACCAGCAACTCTAAAAAGAGTCTCCCAGGGATTCAATATCTGTCAAGGAATAGAGTTTAATCTGCTTGCCACATCATGCAGAAAGGCTTTTTGAAGCACCGTCTCATATTTCCTTACATGTCAGTACATGTAAGATCCATTGAGATCACACTTATCACACTTAGTCACGTAATAGTAGTAGTAATAGTAATAGTAGTAGTAGGGTCACACTTAGTCACGCCCCCTCAGGTTGAGCTCCTCTTCTGTGAAGGAGGAGTCTAGGGCCTATAAATGA